CTTGAAGTGGATGGTTGTACAAATTACACAGTCCTGAGTGAAGCAGACCGCGCTCAAGGAAACGCAGAACTTCAGTACAGATACGATAGCGGCCTGCTACCGGGTTGGTATCGTTTTCAAGGAGCTGCCGGGGATCAGATGCCGGACAAATGTGTTCTCAAGTATCGCTGCGGTACTAGGCGTCCAGGTTGGCTTAATGGTGTACACCCGACAGTCGCTGAAGGAGTGGTGACACGTAAAGTCTGTTACAGTGTATTCCACGACTGCTGTTTTAGGAATAACAGCATTAAAGTGAAGAACTGCAGCTCTTTCTACGTGTATGAGTTACAGGGGACATGTTCGTACTGTCGCTATTGTGGTAACGCCGGCGCTGGTAAGTTGCATCGATCATTTGTGTCAATAGCCAACCTGAATGACTGAAAATATACCATGAGCCTGAATTACGTCGGCATACTAGAATGTCAGACAAAATAAGAATAAATAAGCTAATATGACGAACCTGAACAAAAATAAAGATTAGATAACCCACAAAAAGGAATATAATTTTGTCATAACTGTAACTAGCTGGTTTGCTCTTACTTGGAGTGGATGCTTGTACAAATTACACAGTCCTGAGTGAAGCAGACGGTCGCCTCGTTAATGCGGCCTGGTCACCTCGTTATTACGGCCTGGTAACCTCGTTATTACGGCCGCTTTATTCTGGCCCGAGCTTAAGGTGGCTGCCTATAGTTTTACGGTTGCACGCGCGCTGAGGACGAAAGCTCAAGTAGTCTGCGCGCGCTCGAAGCAAAACGTCACTGTTTTTCGATATTTTAGTACGTCAAAATGAGTACAACAAGCAAAATTGACAGTGAATTTTCTCGCGTTTCCTTTGGAGAAATTCCGTAAAACTTGGCAGATTGGTAGTAAATGCTTTACTTTAGTCGGAGCTCGTTTTTCAAGGAAATCTGTACGACCAGTTTTCTCGCAGCGGTAAGAGACGTAAATTTGCAAAAATCGAAAAACCTGCCTTTACAAACCCTACTTTTTTCGTCTTTAAAATTCGTATCCCGCAGGAAGCGATATGCTGTGAAAATATGGGAAGATTTCACCAAAGGAAATTCAAGAAAATCGCAAGTAAAGCCATAAAAAAGTAAAAAAAAAAAAACATATCTGTTTGGGCATTTATAATTCAAGACTAAAACCAATAATTTTAACAGAGATAATAGTAAAACACTAGTTAATCATTGCTTATTACATGTAATTAGTTTGAGAGGACTGGGTGTAAAAACGGNTTGGGCATTTATAATTCAAGACTAAAACCAATAATTTTAACAGAGATAATAGTAAAACACTAGTTAATCATTGCTTATTACATGTAATTAGTTTGAGAGGACTGGGTGTAAAAACGGATACAAAAACGGAATTCAAAACATAACACTTGCGCGCGCAACGCCATAAATGATTACCCTCTGGAGCCACGCTAAAAAGCCCAGTCAATCGTTAACTTATTTAAAAAAGCCCTTTAGCACGGTCACCCCGTTAATACGGGCAGATTTTTGTGGCCCGTTGGTGACCGGATTAACGGGGTTCCACTCAGTGTAGAATGATTTCTAAGAACAAGTATCAAGATTTGAGGGTCTTACTACGAATTTTTCTGAATAGATCAACTTCGTTTGAGTTTGAATTTAATCCGAACTTTATGATTATTTTCAGCACCTACCCGCGAAGGTAAGTAAAATATCTAGAAAGGTAGTGGATTTGTTCAAATTCGGCTGTTCACGCTGAAAAATTATTCAATGATTTTGTTTAATTTAACTTGCTGCATTTCCTCATTCGGATTATTAAGCGTTTGTTTTCTGAGGTCAACAGAGTAGAATAGAGTAAGTTTTCGTGTTTACAAGAGACTGCAGTGATTCTACGAACCTTTTATCAGTAACTCAAACACGTACTCCTAAAGATTAATATTGATGGGAAAAAACTATATAAGGTTATCTAATGATCTTGGTAAATATAATATTTTTGGACAAAACAGAAAAGAATAAGCAAATAAAGGGGTCATGTTGCAGCTCTCGCAAGGTCTCACATGAATGGCTTAAAACCCTTTGAACAAACAACAGAAACAATGCCCCCTAGCCCCAAAACAATAACAGCTGCTGCAATGACGACAAATAGAATTACAAGCTTACAAGAGCTGCTACACTACGGAAATAAAGATCAGATACCCTACAATAATGAATCATACCGGTAGTTAATTTCTTTTATTTTATTATTTTTTTTTTTATGACTGTAACCTTTCTTGCTGTAACTAACTGGTATGGTTTTACTTGAAGTGGATGGCTGCACAAATTACACAGTCCTGAGTGAAGCAGACCGCGCTCAAGGAAACGCAGAACCGCCTCATGACAGAGACGACAGTAGCTTGGTAACGGGTTGGTATCGTTTTCAAGGAGCTGCCGGGGATCAGATGTCGGACAAATGTGTACTTAAATATCGCTGCGGTACTGGGGGTCCAGGTTGGCTTAATGGTGCACACCCGACAGTCGCTGAAGGAGTGGTGACACGTAAAGTCTGTTACACTGAAAACGACGACTGCTGTTATTGGAATAACATCATTAAAGTGAAGAACTGCAACTCTTACTACGTGTATGAGTTACAGAAGACACGTTCTTATCGCTATTGTGGTAACGCCGGCGCTGGTAAGTTGCATTGATCAGTTGTGTTAATAGCCAACCTGAACGACTGAAAATATACCATGAGCCTGAAATATGTGGAGAAGCCTAAAATATCAGACAAAATAAGAATAGATAAGCTAATATGACAAACCTGAACAAAAATAAAGATAAGATACCCCACAAAAAGGAATATAATTTTGTCATAACTGTAACTAACTGTTTCGTTTTTACTTGAAGTGGATGGTTGTACAAATTACACAGTCCTGAGTGAAGCAGACCGCGCTCAAGGAAACGCAGAACCGCCTCATACTAGAAGCGATGGTAGCCTGTTAACGGGTTGGTATCGTTTCCAAGGAGCTGCCGGGGATCAGATGCCGGACAAATGTGTTCTTAGGTATCGCTGCGGTACTAACCATTCAGGTTGGCTGAATGGTGCACACCCGACAGTCGCTGAAGGAGTGGTGACACGTCAAGTCTGTTATAGTTGGTACAGTGACTGCTGTGAGGATAGTAACATCATTAAAGTGAAGAGCTGCGGCTCTTACTACGTGTATGAGTTACAGAGGACACCTACTCCGCTCAGTCGCTATTGTGGAAACGCCGGCGCTGGTAAGTTACATTGATCAGTTGTGTTAATAGCCAACCTGAATGACTGAAAATATACCATGAGCCTGAAATAAGTTGACAAACCTCCCTGCGTATCTAATCGAACAAAATCGAACCAAAATTCAATCGAACTCAATCGAAGACCGCATCGTTCGTTTGAGTTCGGTAATCCAACAAAATCGAACATCTATTTTGCTGTGAGTTAGGTCAGAGAGTTTGTTAACAGAGGAAAACAATTCAAGAGGAAAGGACGTTTCTTCCGTGAGCTAATAATACGTCCAACACTGTTATCGAAAGAGCTCCTTTGCGA